TTAACTAGCTATGTTGAATTAATAGGCTGCTTAGAGTGATCTGCAAACCAGTTTATTTTTTCCTCTTATTAAATAACCAAACATGAGAATTGAAAAATGAATTGGTTAGATTTGTTATTTGAGAAATTAATGATGAACTGAGTTCTGACTTCCAGCTTCATGTTGATATAATATATGTAGATTTTGCAAAACATTTTCTTATAGGCATTATGGGCATTAGGTTGACCATATTTGTAGTGATAACAGAGTGAGTGTCACTGCTTTATAACCTCTAATATCGTCTGGATTTCATATGATGTATAGGAATACTATAGCAGAGAGTTTAAATGCTGTGGAAGAAGCCAGAAGCAGAATTAGAATGAAAGGATTTCTTTTTCTGAGCCTAGGATCCTCTTGCTGTACTATGCCAAAAGCAAAGAAGACTGCTGTCTTCAGGCAAGCAGTCTATACCGAGGTCCTCATTGGGTTGCTGTGCATTCTCTTCCTGCTATATCTTGCATATAGGTTAGTGAATAGGTCCTTCACCCATTTGGAGATGAAGACTGCTCTGTCTTTCTTGGTTCAGGGAATATGATATAACTTCTTCCCCTGAAATGGGGTCTCCAGCATGGAGGCTGACCATAGGAGCTGGGGGGTACATTCTCTGTAGCATCTGTTGTTCCCAATTAAAATTTTGCTGCTGGGTATTAGATCTAGTTAGTATTTGTGGCTCCTAGTTGCTCTTTCTAAAATTAGTAGTGTGTGAATTGAGATTTTTTTATGTGAAAGGAATCAAAGCAAGGCTCATTTAATTATGGTTATTTACAGATGCAGGCCCTGCCTTTTACTGAACCATATGTGGGTAGATTGCAGAGCCCACACATAGTCCCATTGGCTTAAATGGGATTCTCTCTGAGTACAGCAGTCAGCCTGAGCGCTGCGTGTATCAGGATTGGGGCCAATGCTGACACAGATACAATTGGAAAGAGCTTCTTTATGGTCTAATTCTGAGTCTGCACTGAAGATGCTTTAACTCTTGTGTCCTTAAAGTCAACGTAAATGTAACTTGCATTTACTTTATGACCTCTTTCTTCTGAGAGTGTTACAGTGACCCCAATCAAATTTCTTGTGTTTTCCTTTGTGTTTGTGGACAAAGATCTTAGAACTGAGTGAAAATTGCTTTTTGTAATTCAAAGGTATATTTCCACTCAGTCTGGGGACACTTCCCTGTTAAGTTGTTGTGAAAAAAAATATGAAAGTGTGTGTGATGTCCAGGAACTATAAATATATATTGAAAGTTATATATAAATATAAATATATTATTGAAAGTTGAAGAGGGGTGTGTGTGTGTGTGTGTGCGCGTGTGTGTCCAGCAAAATAATTATTACTGTATAGATATAGTAATATACAAGACATTTCATTGGCTGGGAGAAAGTTATATCCCTGCCTTGTATAGGTTACATGCGTTCAATGTATGAATTCAGTTTTAAAAAGGTACAAAACAGAAGCTATGTTTGCTTGATATTTTTACATTCGTAATACTAAAAATCTGCAGAATGCTGTGGACAGTTGCCAAAAATGAAAAAAATGTGCCTTTATAATATTAAAGCTACCCATTGACCAAAAAGAGTACTTTAATCACTAGTGAGGGTCCGTCAGGGCCCACAAATATAAGAGAATTTTCAGTCATGGGTATGAGGTAGTCATTGACAGTCATGTCTTTATATATTTGTAGTTGTTTATGATATCTTTATTTCTTGCCTAAGTGTTGTCGTAGGAATAGAGAATTTAATATCAAGAAGTGCAACATTAGGAAAATTACTATGCTGACTCCACAGTATCCACCTGATACTGTCATTGAATCACTGTTTCTAGGAATGACGTTGGAGATTTAGAGGGTAGGGATTACCCTGTGATAAAATGTGCCTTCGTGGTTATATGATACATGCACGTTAACATTGTGTGATTGTCAACAAATCTCTGCAGATACTAAAAAAAATACCTGCAGAGTTATTTCCCTTTTGTTTTGTATCAAACTGGGTGTGCTTTCCAGCTAGCATCCCATGATGCACTTTATTAAACTGTATTTTCTCTCTAGGGGTTCCCATTGAATCAGATCAGAGCTGAGCTAGACAGTAGAGATGTACATAAGTTCTGACACTTCTTTTTATGTTCTCACTTGGTTGATTTAAGTGCGAGAATTTGGGAGGACTGGGAGAGAGATGGGTAGAAAAAGGACCCTTTGAAATATTTCTTAAGCATATACTTCATCAAAGGCCCACAGCTTTTATTTGCACTTAGTTTTTGATTGGGCTTTTTTTTTTTTGGTCTAGATAAAGGTAGTTGGATGCTTGAAAATGTTTAAAGATGCCAGTTTAAAAAACCGCAGCTACTTAAAGCTCTAATTTAGTACATACATGACCTTTTACATGACACTGAAGAGAAAGGAATTTGGATGCATATGATTGAAGCTGAAGATATACACTTACGTATTTTGCTTATTCAAGTCCTACATCCAGAAGTATAGTATTCAGGGGTGAATATATGACAGAGGGGACAGAACTGTCATCACACCCATGTATGATATTGCTTAAATTTTGCTTACATAGGCTCATCAGTGTCATCACTTCCTAACTGCTGTAACTTACAGTCCCAAACTAGAACACCAGATCTGAATATTCCAGAAGATCTGATCTAGATTAGAATTTAGATGCTAGGGTCTTTCTAATTGCAAAAAAGGCTTGCCATTCTGTTTTGAGATGATTCAGTTGTTAACCTCCTAAAGCAGCATTTCCCAAGCACTGTGGCCTAGTTTTGTGCCCCCTACTTCAGCCACTGCTGCCACTGCTTGCCTTATTACCAGTTCCCCCACTGCTGACTGCTGCTGATTCCCCTTCCTGGTGGCACTTGCCAGCAAGGTGAATCAACAGCAAGACCTGAAGTTGGGATAGGCACATTGGTGACACTTAGGATGTGCATACGGGTACACATGCACCCCCTGAAATTGGCAGTGCACCCCCTGAGATTGGCCTCTGTCAGTGGTGCCTGTGGGCAGTTGCTGCTCATCACCCCTCCCCACCACTGCCGCTGACACTGCCAGCGGCATCTGTGGGCGGTTGCCGATCACTGGTTCGTGCTCGCCACCCCCCGCCTCACTGCTGACACTGCCACAGCTGACTGCAGAAGCTTTCTGCTGCCACACCGCCAATACTGCCACTGCCACTGCCACCTGCGGGTAGTCTCCATGCCTCCCACAGCCTCAGGAGGCACGCAACGTACATGGATGGGTGTGAGAGTAGGGAAGGTGGCAGGAGAACTGGCAGCAATCAGCAGCCATCATTTGTATGTGCCCCCCACTGCCCAAAATTTTTATGTCATACTAGGGTGTGCTCCCTTTAGTGTGGGAAATGTCCTAAAGGCTAAGTACAGGCATCCAGGGGCATTAGGGGGAGGTTTAATTTATTCAAAATGGCTGCCTGATAAGGATAGCAGGGGGGTTGAGACTGTACTGGGGAATGGGGGAGGTGTGACCCATGAGGGATGATGGGCACACGCAACATGCAGGTGGGGTATGTGGGGCTAGTGTGACTCTTGAGGGGTAAGGTGGGGTTGGGGGGAGCAAGCCTGACTTGTGGGTGGGGTAAGATTCCCCCAG